GTGGCATTTAGCCCAACTTATTTTCATATGGTATTTATACAATAGTATACAGCTCCCATAAGCATAAAGTGAGTAATATATAAAATATGCAAATAATTATCAGTGTTTTTAACTGTAATTTTAACATATTGCTGTGCTGAATTAAATTACCATCTCATTTAAAACATAGTAAATGATATTTTTTCGATTTATGCAAAATTTACAACAATATGCACCAATCTGAGACCTGGTTTCAGACATTATCAAAATACCTGATTCTAGTATATTTCTACATGTGACAAGGTCTAATTGAGGATGAAATGCATTTTCTGCTGGAATGCAACAAATATAATGAGTTGCGTGCCAAACTGTTCAATAAAGCTAAGGATATGATCCCAGCATTTGAAAATAAACCTGCAGAGAAAAAATTCATGGAATTGTTACAGAATGAAAACGTTATTATACCAGTAGCACAGTTCATAAGTAAAAGCTTCGAAGTCAGGAAGCAGCGTCTTACTTGACATCTTAATGCCTGCTGTCAATTTAGTAATTTTATATTAGTTAGTATTATAGAGATCTCGCATTATTTAGTAATTTAGTGATTGTATTTGTTATTTAGTATATTGTGTTTTTTTGTTTTGTTTTTTATATATATTCTTCTCCTTGTACTTTGTGACCATTTTCTTTCCCTCCGGGAATTGTGTAAAAGTCAATAAGTAAATAAAAAAATAAATAAAAAATAAATAAATAAACTCTACAGCCAAAATGGCCACCAGTCAGCCATCTTTGATCCAATCACAAAATCATTACATATGCATATGTAGTGAGTATGTACAAGGTTTGAAGATAATTGATATATCTGAGATACACACACATGGAAACTATACCATAACCAGTCGGGAACAATAATTCACTATTATGATTATTTTCAAAAAAACTCCAAGTACATGTAGTTGTTCTATGACTTAAACTGCAATTTATTGTTATTATTATATACTTATATTTATTATCACATTACCTTATTTCCTTTCAAATACTTTGTAAGTTGTTTGGTACCTTTACCAATACCTATCACCAGTACGCCTGAAGCATTCTTATCTAATGTGCCGCCATGACCAATCCTCAACCGACGACCACCACAAATAGTTTTCTCTTGACAATCTGAACAAAATTAGAAGTATACAAACATCTATGGCTATATGGCGCCCATAACATATTTCTTTTTAACTCAACATCCTCACTATATCAGTGGAGAACAATATATTGCAAAATGGAAAAATGCTGCGTATTTTAATTTATGAGTAAGCTAATTTGTTGTTAACATGTACCGCGATGTACCTTAGACTTGTATGAAGAGTGATGTTTTACATATTTGCAAACTGTGAATAATTGAATGGAAGTCTAAACTACTTCTTGAGCGACCTCAATCTGGTTTGAACACCGACCTTTATATAATCTTTTCTTCAACTTTCTTATAACATCTGCAGAAGTGATTCCTACTGGCTTTCTGACGGCAAACAGTCCGTTTAGTTTCATGAGCTGCGATTCAGCAAGAGACACAGCCATAGCGGAAACACACATTTTGAAACATCAATGAACATCAGGTACATGACATGGTTGTACCACCAGCTGTAATCTTCCAATGCATCCTGGGAGGGAATCCTGGGTTCAACCACTTTTTTTTTATGGGGGTGTTTACTTTATTACATGATCATCGCTGTGGTAATTGGATAATATTTTGAAAATTATATGGCATAAACATGTAGTGCATAGCCATTTACACAAGTTAATAATATTCAAGACAATTTATTACGAGAAATGAAATGATATTGTCGAATTGCGTGAACCCCCTCTATCCACCTTCACATTTAAACCCTCTGTTTAACTCTCCTTGGTCTGAAAAAACGTACGCCCTCAACGAGAAACACCCTGTCAAAGATAAACAAAGATGGACGACAGGCAAAATGATGATCGGGTATTTGGTGAGAAATTTGGACAGCTCCCCCCTGAACATGTGGAACTTATGTGGAACGATGCAACCAACATTTATATAGTCGTAATACTCCTGAGTTTCCTGCTTATCTGGTATTTTAAAAAGTAGGTA